AAATGATGATTAGCTACATGTACTGTTTTGTATAAATATTGCCACAAGTTTGACGTAATCGTCAAACAAATGATGATTAGCTACATGTACAGTTTTGTATATATATTGCCACAAGTTTGACGTAATCGTCACACAAATGATGATGAGCTACATGTACTGTTTTGTAAATATGGTGCCACAAGTTTGACGTGATCGTTGTACATTCAATGCTTCTTTTTGTAATGACATTGGGGTGTAAACGCGTTTAACGAAACGCATATTGAATGAAGAAGCGCTTCGATCGAATTTACGTTTAATTACAGAGTTATACATTCAAATAAAGACAAACATTGAAGTTCTAACAAAATTTCAAAAAGTTGCATTGCAAGTGTGAAATAAATGAACGATTATCAAATTACCCGGTTTGTTGGTTTCCATTAGATGAACAGTTACCACTGCAGTCACAGCTGAAACACATGTAACTACAAGAATGGCCACCATAGAAACTCATATCACTTGAACACACACGGCAATTTTTCCATTTTTGCTTGTTATTTTCAATTTTGTGTCAGCTTTTCTGGAAAAAAAGGAAAGATGTATCTGATGACAAATCATTTACGAGGTCTATGTTATCAGACATTTCCATCTTTTCAACAATAAGAAACTTCCTTTATATCCAACATCGTGAAACAAGTGTTCTACTAAAATAAGTGCATACATGTACATGTAATTATACAATGTAAACATGAAAATAACTATAAAGTATTGTAATTGTATCTTAAGTAATAACCTTAAGTAGCAGATACATGCATACGTCATATTTTCTTCTTTAAGAAACAATATAAATATTCAAAACCATTTTAATAGAGAGAAAAAAATGATAATACTTTGTCTATATGCCATTTTTTTTTTATCTTTGTTGACATATTTATAAAAAAGAAGATGTGGTATGATTGCCAATGAGACAACTCTCCACAAGAGACCAACTGACAAAGAAATTAACAGCTATAGGTCACCGTACGGCCTTCAACTATGAGCAAAGCCCATGCCGCATAGTTTGTTTTTATAGTGATTAAGATTATAACACAATGTTGACTGCTGTACCCTTATTTTTGAAATTTTTGCCTTTTGTGTCTGTTTATTTTGTTCACACATTGTTGTCAATATAATGGAATTTTAAGCGACTGTCATAACTAGAGGCTCTAAAGAGCCTGTGTCGCTCACCTTGGTATATGTGCATATTAAACAAAGGACACAGATGGATTCATGACAAAATTGTGTTTTGGTGATGGTGATGTGTTTGTAGATCTTACTTTACTGAACATTCTTGCTGCTTATAATTATCTCTATCTATAATGAACTTGGCCCAGTAGTTACAGTGGAAAATATTTTGTAAAAATTTACAAAAATTTACAAAATTTATGAAAATTGTAAAAAATTGACTATAAAGGGCAATAACTCCTTAAGAGGTCAATTGACAATTTTGGTCATGTTGACTTATTTGTAGATCTTACTTTGCTGTACATTATTGCTGTTTATAGTTTATCTCTATCTATAATAATATTCAAGATAATAACCAAAAGCTGCAAAATTTTCTTAAAATTACCAATTCAGGGGCAGCAACCCAACAACGTGTTGCCTGATTGGCAGATAGATCTTGACCTAATGAACAATTTTATCCTGTCAGATTTGCTCTAAATGCTTTGGCTTCAGAGATTACGAGCCAAAAACGGCATTTTACCCTATGTACTATTTTTAAGCCATGTCGGCCATTTTGGTTTGCGGGCGGGGTCATCGGAGACATTCTTTAAACAAGATACCCTAATGATGATTGTGGACAAGTTTGGTTAAATTTGTCTTAGTAGTTTCAGAGGAGAAGATTTTTGTAAAAGATTACAAAAATTTACGAAAAATGGTTAAAAATTGACTATAAAGGGCAATAACTCCTTAAGGGGTCAACTGACCATTATGGTCAAGTTGACTTAATTGTAGATCTTACTTTGCTGAACATTATTGCTGTTTACAGTTTATCTCTATCTATAATAATATTCAAGATAATAACCAAAAACGGCAAAATTTCCTTAAAATTACCAATTCAGGGGCAGCAACCCAACAACGGGTTGTCAGATTCATCTGAAAATTTCAGGGCAGATAGATCTTGACCTGATAAACAATTTTTCCCCCATGTCAGATTTGCTCTAAATGCTTTGGTTTCAGAGATATAAGCCAAAATCTACATTTTACCCCTATGTTCTATTTTTAGCCATGGCGGCCATCTTGGTTGGTTGGCCGGGTCACCGGACACATTTTTTAAACTAGATACCCCAATGATTGTGGCCAAGTTTGGTTTAATTTGGCCAAGTAGTTTCAGAGGAGAAGATTTTTGTAACAGTTAACGACGACGGACGACGACGACGGACGACGGACGACGGACGCCAAGTGAAGAGAAAAGCTCACTTGGCCCTCTGGGCCAGGTGAGCTAAAAATGAGAGGTTTAGCTAGCTATAAATCCAGGTTTAATCCAACATTTTCTACATACGAAAAAGCATGTACCAAGTCAGGAATATGACAGTTGTTATCCATTCGTTTGATGTGTTTGCCCTTTTGATTTTGCCATTTGATAAGGGACTTTCCGATATAAATTTTCCTTGAAGTTCAGTATTTTTGTTATTTTCTTTATTCCGTAGGTTACAAAATGAAAATGAGTATTTGCCTGAAAATGAAACGGTAATTTTATCTGAATAATTACAAATAAGTTCCATGATAAATAGATACATGCAGATGGATAGAACAACTTTATTCAAAGCTTCGTGCACTTATAACACATGCATTTGAAATTTCGGGGCCTTTTATAGCTGACTATGCGATATGGGCTTTGTTTATTGTTGAAGGCTGTACGGTGACCTATAGTTGTTAATTTCTGTTTCATTTGGTCTCTTGTAGAGAGTTGTCTAATTGGCAATCATACCACATCTTCTTATTTTTATATATATGAGTAAAGTTTCTAACAAATTTAAATGAACATTAGGGCCCTTAATAGCTTACTGTTCGGTGTGAGCCAAGGCTCCGTGTTGAAGACCGTACTTTGACCTATAATGGTTTACTTTTATAAATTTTGACTTGGATGGAGAGTTGTCTCATTGGCACTCATACCACATCTTCTTATATCTATTGACATGGCTGGCAATCTCAAACCGTTGTCTGGGCCACATGAAGTAGATCTTCAGCAAGAATATTTTAGTTATCCACCAATGAAAACTGACCACCACGTAAAAACACAATCGTGTTGAAAGTGGCAACAAACACCAATCAATTAATCAAATCAATCAATAGTAGTTCGAACTTGACATTTTTGAATGGTGTTACTGTTTCAGCAAAAAACATTTAAGTCTCAAGTGCCACTGACCTGATGTGTCTCGTTTTAATTACTGCCATTGCGTTGAGCTTGAATCGTCGTAAACGAATTTTAGGGCTTTTCCTTGTATTTTTTTCTAGTTTTTATGATTTTTTCTCTGTACAAAAATGTAAAACTAACGGATCAATTTGGACTCATCATTTATGTGTTCTTCGGCTGCATTACCCTTTTGTACTTATGTTGTAATTGTCATTTTAATTTGATGCTATAACTATCAGCCTTTTTTTACCTATTCAATCTACTGTGATATTAAGAAAGGGTAAACATAAATAAAAACTTCGCTTTTTTCATGAATATCAACACCAAACAAAACACCACTCCAAATATAAAATTCTCTTTCCATAAATCAGATATACAGAAGCTTATACTCTTATCATTTTGCTTCATCGTCACCATAATTAGGTTAGAGGGGGCAACGTATCGATCTGCAGCAAGATTTTTCAACAGAAATCCTTAATTTCCCCCGTGCAATGCCACATACTGACAAACCTGTCTCAGATCATCTTCTAATAATAATGTTGGGTTTTCAATGGAATGGACTTCTTTTCCCTCTCTTTTTCCTTGTAACATGAACAAAACCTAAAAGTGGTATTGAATATGTATATGTAGGGCAAACAGAACGTGATTGTTTTAAATGAACACATCTAAAAAGTATCACAAGGTCTCAAGGAGTAAAATTATATTTATTTCTCCGTAGGGGATAATAATAGGTGAAGTCAAATGAAACATGCAATTCGTTTTTTTAATTCTAAAATTCTTACATACAAATATTTTTAATTTTTATATTCGAAAAGTTTTTTGACATCTTAAATCATTTTCTATGCACATTTCAAATATATAAAAAGGAAAAAGAGAAATAAAATAGATCATGATATAACAGCAAAATTGGATTACTGATGTTTATTTATTATGAAATACATAATGTTGATTAGTGTACATTTAAGTACACACTACTTTGCATTACAAATTGTATAATATATTGAAGTAAATCTATCAATGTAGTAATGGTCTAAATGAATTAAACAGACTAAGACTCAATTTATCACCGTATCATTCAATATAAGAAGATAACACCATGGTTTAACATTGATAACATGTAAATTGAAATTCGAATTTATTTATTCAAATTATATGCAAACACAAGACATTACATTTTAAACCTAAACTGTAGGTCTCAATAGTACTTGAAAGGGTAATTTATCAGTCCAAAAGTGGACTAAAAGTTACTTTGAATGTTTAATCTCCAATGCTATTTGTAATTTTGTATTACCATAACAAGTTCACTTGTAAACTGTAAAAATATATATTTTTTAACTTGTTTTATTAGTTTAAACAAAATAATGTGAAAAGTGTCAGCCTGCAAACAATGGAAACAATTGTATAATTCTTTATTTTTGTTAGTTTTATCAACTAGATATGGAATATGGACATGAGTTTCCACGATAAAAGTGAGAGAGTCCGGCTGTACCGCCAGATTTAGTCTGGTCATCGTGCATTTATAGATTGAAAAAAGTAAAATTTTCAGAATTTTTGGCACCTTTTCTGTAATGATCATACTATTGCTCTTTTTGTTTTTATAAAAATAAAGAACGCTGTTGTGTGGTTAATGGAAAATAAGGAGCAGTTTGTAAATCTCCTTCCAGGGCCATTTATATTATGTATCGGATTTATAATACATATTATTGGTTTTTCGACGACTCATTGGTCAAAGAGAACTAGCACCGGTGCCTACTGTGGATTATGGAAAGTTTGTACATATGACGATGATAAATCAAAAGCATGCTTCACAATCACACAAAGAGGAAGTGCGCCAAGTAAGTACTTCCGGTAAATTATGAAATAATGGTATAGCACAGATTACATTAGAAGTTTTAAAGCTTTTTTGTTTTTATTGCTTTCTTGATACAAGTGTATTTTCCAGAAAAGAATAGAAACAATTTATTCTTTACTTAAAAAAAAAAGAGGGGGAGGGAAATGAATGGTTAAAACACAGATTTGTATAGTACAATAAAAATATTTTTAAGTCCTTGGTTAACATAACTGTGTCCTTACATAAATGTTGGAATAATATTAAGTTCTGTGAATAGTATTTTGATAAAATAAACTGCATTATGCACAAACGGAATATAGCAAATTTTGTTTCACATACGGGGTTAAAATATCAAAATCCATAAACCTACGTGTTTTAATACGATATTCCCGGGCTTGTGTTTCCTATCATGATTTCCTTGATAGAGGATTGCTGCTCACAAGGAAGCTATTAAACCAAGAGTTCCAAATGGTGAAGTTGAAATCATCCCTTCGTAAATTTTACGGACGCCATCACGAGTTGGTTGACCGTTATGGAATAACGGTTTCACAGATGATATCGGATATGTTCCTTATATCGTAACTACAATATCCTTCACTTTTCACGAATGTGACTTACCGAATTAGACTATTTACCGGATTTGTAATAACATAAGCAACACGACGGGTGCCACATGTGGAGCAGGATCTGCTTACCCTTCCGGACCACCTGAGATCACCCCCAGTTTTTGGTGGGGTTCGTGTTGCTTAGTCTTTAGTTTTCTATGTTGTGTCATCTGTACTATTATTTGTCTGTTTGTCTTTTTATTTTTGGCCATGGCGTTGTCAGTTTGTTTTCGATCTATGAGTTTGACTGTCCCTCTGGTATCTTTCGTCCCTCTTTTAAAGGGTTACAGCTATTTAAGATATTTTAGCATAATTGTTTGGAATAAATTTTTGTACATGTTAATGCTAACGACATAATGCTATGACATTCTACATCAACCTGTGTAACTATAGACTTTTGTGAAATTAGAATATTTCTTTACAATAAGTCTATAAGACAGACCATTCAAAAAATATGTGAAACAACGTTTGAATAGCACGGTTTAAAATTGATACCGTCGAGTTGATGTTGCAATGCAGTCATACAGGATTTTCTGAAGAGTTTATCAGGAAATGAGAAATTTAAAGCAATACAATATTTAAAAAAACTTTCCAATGTAATGTCTTATATTATTCATTGTGTCACCAAGACAGTTTCTTAACCAGTGAAAATACTTACCATAATGTAAAAGATAAAAGATAACAACTTTTAATATAAGAAAAACAATACAAAAATCATATTCGTATTGGTTGTATATTTAGCACGAACTAACGACATAACATTCAAGTCTTCTAAACGGTTTTATTTCTAAATCATCTGGATTTTTTTTCTTTTGTCAGTTATGGTATTCTTGTGTAGTTTCCTGGGTACAGCAAGTACCATTATAACTGGATTGTCATTTATCACTGCTGTCTTCACAATGTGTCAGAAAAAGATTACAGCTTTGAAATGGTCTAAAAACTCGGCGGCAACAGCTCTTCTTGCAGGTATAATATTAAAATACAAATGTATTTGAAAAGACTGAAATCGGCAAGAAAATATTACCTAGGCATTTCCATAATTTTTTTCTTTATTTTGAAAAGTATCTGAAATATCAGAGATGGCAAATATTTTGCATTAGATTTTATTAGTCGTTAAATGTTGAGTAAAAACGTTAAGAAATTACAATAATTCTATTGTGTTATAAAATGATTATATTTAATGCCATACACATACTAGTACTTTAAATTTTTAACGAGTTATCTTATGCGATTTTTATTTGAAAAGAACGGCTATTAATATTTGGTCATAACACGTTTTTCATATATACCCTTTATTAATTGTGCATTAGTTGAACCACTTTATATTTCAGTAGCCTTGTCAGTCAGCGTTGAATGTATTTATGGTGCAACTTATTGCAGTATTTAGTTGAACCACTTTATATTTCAGTAGCCTTGTCAGTCAGCGTTGAATGTATTTATGGTGCAACTTACTCCAGTATTACGTACGACAATATCCCTAACCTCAACAAAACATCAACGACAACTGAACTTTCCTGGTCGTTCTTTTTGTATTGCTCATCTTCAGTGATTCTTTTGATTGGAAGTTTATACTTAATAATCGTTCCGTCTAACATACTGTCAACTAATAAAGTTTCAACAACCATGCCACAGATACCGGTATTACAGATCCATCCACCACCAAGTGACCGAGCGCCGACGCCATTATATTTGTTGTCTCAGCGTTCATTATCTCCTTTACCGTCACCATTTTCATCTAACGCTCATACTCAACATCCCCAGAGTTTGCCGCCAGTCTTTACACAGCTTCGTAGATAGATGTATATTTGACATTTTTGTCTTGATACATGTAGATGTATATTTGACATATTTGTGTTTATCAGTGCTTGTTTATTATTAAACATGTTGAAACAATGGTGTCAAATATTTATTATATTTCTATTTATATATCCCAAAACCGTATAATCATAATATGGTAACATATAGTATAGTGTGAACTGTGAGTAAATTTTCTTTCAAAGATGAAAAATTATAGTAAATAAAATAATAAAAATAACATAAAAACAATCGAAAATCTCTTACAATGAAGCTAAATGAGAAGACCATAATAAGTTTAAATAAAACAACCTTAAGTGCCAATTAAATCTTTTTAAATGTTAAAGCTAGAAACGAACATTCGTATAGCTGCGGAACCGTAGCTCATAGATCATTATGATATTTTTTGACAGTTTGCGGACCATAGGAGCTACGGTTCCGCAGCTGATCGCAGCTAGCATTCGAACTAAATATACAACAACATGTTCGTACAGCCTGTCAATACCTATATTTTTGGATTTTACATACTTTAGTCAAATAATTTACATTAAACAACAAGACAACCCCAAAAAGGGAAAAAAACAAGCCGAATGGTTATCAGGGCAAAAGGACCCAGGTCTCACAGGTACTAGGGTGGATGGACCCGGATGCCTCTCCAACCACCTATAATATCAAATGGTCGTCCCCCTAAGGCTAATCATAGATATAATAGCCATTATACTTATGCCCTAAGATAATGCACATTGAATTTTTAAAAGTAAAGTCATAGACAGTTTAAACCTACACTGTAAACCAGAAATTAAGAATCATGAGCCCCATAAAAATGACACACGCCTTTGCCTAAAATTAAATTTTAAAAGAGCCCCCCCCCCCTCTCCCTTAAAAAAAAACTAACAAAACAAAACACACAACCATTACGATAACAGACAAAGAAAATTAGGAAAAAACGATAGATTTTGACATAATCAAAGTAGATTTTTATTAAAAACACAGTTTAATAACAATTCACGAAATAAATATTGATCCACGAAGTACGGTGTCAGAGAAGTATAACAAACCAATCCCATTTAGGCTGTAATTTTACCAAACGTGGCCTGTGTTGGTACAACGTTGATATGGATTCAACATATCGCATGACTTCCTTATCATCTAGATACAAAATACCTAAAATGAAGAAAAAGATCCAACTTTTAATGACATTTTACGTTGACATTTTCGGCGCCGGAATTGGCAACGTTGTATATACTGACAACTCCGGTTGAGGTCAATTCCGGCTATTCTGCTTCATCATGTCACTAGCAGTTAACACTTATTAATGTCTTGAAATATATTTGCTATGTTTTAATAATTTTTAGGGGATATTTATTGTCGAGAGATGAATTGCTATCGTGTACTTCAGAAAACAAGGTTGCGGGAGGACCACGCCTCCGTAGTGGGGACACACAAAAAAGATGACTGTTCTCCATTTTTACTCGATAGAATTGGCTAATTTTTTCATAACATATACATTATGTACCAAAGATTATTATATGAAAGTATAAAAAAAATCGAGGCGAAGATTTATAGAAACAGCTTATTTTCATAGCAGACCAATAGAAGTAATAGAAAAAAAGACAAAAATAGTGCCTTCTTCAATTTCGAAAAAAAATCTATAATTTTACAATTTATTGACACATATTGTTATCTATAAAGGGGTTAAATATCTAAGGATTCGCCTTTTTGTGACATTTGAATAAATATTTACTTTAAAAACAGAAAATCTTCCAATTTCTAAAGCTACCGCCCATGCAAAGAAAAATCTATAAAAAATTGAGACCCCTACTTGAAAATGGGTACAAATTTTTGCCCTGGCTTGAACACCCCTGTTCTTTACGAATTTTGATGCCAAATACTAGCGAGAATAGGATGTAAAATTTTATGGAAAATCGATGGACATGTTTTTTTGTACTCATTTTTAATATCGCCATTTAATTCTACAGTGCAGAAAATCAAAATCCGAAATTCTATGTTCAGATATAAAAAAATGAGATTTCCTGTTATTTTAATGTTCGTAAATGAAAATAATATTTAAACTCATATATTTTTTCTCATATAGACGTGCTTACAATCAAAAGTTTTTACCGTCGGTACTTTGCCATAAACGAATGAAAAAAAAAATAACAAAAGCGCGCATTTTTCAGTTGACATCGGCCGACGCAAAATAGTCCAATTTTGCGCGTAGGACTACTGAGCGCCCCCGAATCACATTTTGGCCAAAACGGTACATCCGGTTGTCCTACTGCTGTACACGGAACAAGTCTAAATGATGAACTGGTTTTGTTCCAGATGTTGTTAATAATAATAAAGGAGTTTTTGCTTGTCAAAGTAAAGGTTCACGAAGGATTAAAATTGTAAAATTGGCCATGTGATTCCAATCTTTTTTTTTTTTTAAACAGGTATAAATACTACAAATTTCAGGTAGAAATAGTTGTGATATTGCACTATGAATTCAAAACAACTTTTTTTTATCACACATCACATCATAAATTATGAAGTTATGACCCCCTAAATTATACATTATTTGTGTTGGTTGATTTGATTTGAATTTTGATGTTTTAACGCCACTTTTAAGCACCGCTTTTGAGCTCTTTCGTGGCGGTCAGTTTTTATTGGTGGAGGAAGCCGGAGTGAACGGAAAAAACCACCGACCTTCGATACGAAAACTGACAATCCTAGTCAATTAAGATTGGAGTCGAGTGCACCCGCACGAGCGGGGTTCGAACTCACAACCTCAGTGTTGACTGGCTAGTGATTACAGTAGTAACTACTTAGACCACTCGGCCACCGAGGCCCCTATATATTTGTGTTGGTAAAAATTTCCATAATTTATAACAGGTTTAAGCATTATTTATATTGGCCGCATCCCCTCATCTTGAATTAATTTTGGTATAAACCTTAGCACCTTTAGGTTAAAAACAGTTTTGATCTTAGGTTGCGGTCTAGGTTTTCCTACATCTTTTAGGAGTGTAAAAAATGCACAAAATCACCGTATTTTCACAATATCTCCAAAATGTGCTGACTTTGTATCCTATAGTGTATTTTCTTTATCTAGCAATATAGATGGTAAAATGGATACATTTAAGAACCAAATTGTGGCCTTTTTGATTTTAATATGATAGAGTTGAAATTAAAGGCCAAATTTTGCCAAAAGTGAAGTTTTACTAGATGCCCAGTTTTTGTTATGCTGAGTCCATACATTGTTTATATATCATTCATGTCAAGAGATCGTACGTATACATGTAGCAGTATAATAAAAACACATCAACAAAGTAATTTGTATATCTGAAGCAGTATAAATAGAACACATCAACAAAGTAATTTGTATATCTGTATCAGTATAATAAGAACATGTCAACAGATCATACGTATACATGTAACAGTATAATAAGAACACATCAACAGAGTCATACATATATTGGATGTTCTGTCCTCTTGTTTTTGAATTTTTGCCAGATGTTCGGATTCCTCTGGTTTAACCATATACTGCCATTAAGAATTTTGTACACTAACTCCTACTTTTCTTTCCATAATTTGAATACATATAGTTTGAAATGACATTTTAGAAAATATTATAAAATCCTTGTTATTTTTTCATCGTTTCTGAAAGAAAATAGGTGCCAAGGTTAAATGTATGAAAAATCTAGAGAGATTTATTTCCCGCCAAATTTTCAATGGCTTATATCTCGAAAACAAGCACACGGATCCTTCATTTTTTTCTGCTTTTTTAGTCCCTTTATTTATATACTATCAATTCATAGCAGTCTTTTAAAAAGCTTGTTATTTTGAAACAAAGTAAATGGTTTATCTATAAATGATAATATATTGTTGATGGGCGACTTTAATATTGATTTTTTGAAGCCTCTTCCTTCCAAATGGTCATCTTTTATTACAACATATGGTCTTCATCAAATGGTGGTTGACCCTACTAGAGTTACTTCTACTAGTGTCACTTTAATTGATCATATTTACAGTACTAATCCTACAAGTCTTATCAATGTTATATATATAGTACAGTACCATCATACGCCCCAGGTGATCATTATCCTGTTAGCTGTACTGTAAACAAATTTGCAAAGCTTATTAAAGACAAATCAGATTCACATTTTGAGATCAAATACAGAAACTTCAAAACATTCAATGATGAAATGTTTTTACAAGATATGTCAAATCAACCATTCGATATAATACACGAAATCAATGATCCAAACGAAGCAATGGACATGTGGTATTACTTACTTGTCAATGTTTTAGATAAACATGCACCTGTTGTTACTAGACGTGTAAAAATAAATATCAACCAGAATGGTATACTAATGAAATTGGTAAATCAAAATTCCAAAGAGATTATTTTCACAAAGAGAAAGACACTGAAAATTATAAAAAATATAGGAATAAAACTAGTGAATTAATTCGTTCAGCAAAAGCAAAATATTTTATGGATGCAATAGATAACGATAAAAACTGTAAAATTCTTTGGAAGCATTTGAAGGATATGAATTCAACAACAAAACAGGAAATTGATATTTTAACACACGAAGGAAAAGTTCTTATAAACAAAAATGATATTGCTAACTGCTTAAATGATCATTTTAGCACAGTAGGTTAGAAACTGATATCAAATCCTCACAAAAGTTTTAAATCTGAGAAAATTAATAACTATGTCAAATCAAAAATAAATGATGATGATGCTAAATTCTCATTATATACTGTCACAAATGATGAGGTTCTACAAGCTCTTAAAAATCTAGACATAACTAAATCAACCGGAACTGATGGAGTTGGACCAAGAATTTTAAAATTATCAAGATCGAGTGTAGCAAGCCCCCTTGCTCTCATAATAAACCTTAGTTTATGTACAGGAATATTTCCTAATATATTAAAATTTGCTAAAGTTGCTCCCATATTTAAAGGAGGGGATAAAACAGATCCAAACAATTATCGACCCATTTCAATTTTACCCACTATGTCCAAGTTATTTGAAAAAACTGTCTTTAAACAACTATATTTATTCTTAACCACACACAAATTATTAATACAACAGCAGTCTGGATTTAGAGAAAAACATTCTTGTCATACAGCACTC